TACAACTTACTGAGCGTTAGCCAGTTGATGGCGAAAGGAATTCATCTGGAAGCCGACAGCACGACCCAGGAGTTCAAACTTTACCACGGGAGAGGCGGTCTCTACATCGGGAAAGCAGTGCTGAAGAACAACGTCTTCGTCCTCGACTTCGTTCCTGACCTGGGCACTGCAGACAGCGACGCCATCGTGAATTTCACTGACTGGACACACCCTCCGGATCTCGACCCCGACTTCAGCCCAGGAGGCTTCTGGTACTCGCACACCATTCCTGAAGCAGAACGAACACGAGCATTAGCAACAATTCGACAATCGGCAGCAGTAACAACATCGGCAGCAGCAACAACATCAGCAGCAGTAACAACATCGGCAGCAGCAACAACATCAGCAGCAGTAACAACATCGGCAGCAGCAACAACATCAGCAGCAGCAGGAACAACGACACCAGTCACAGTCGACGAAGCACCACCAACACCCGCGAAACAGCTGAATCCGACTCAACGTGAAGTCCACCGAAGCGCCAACCTCGTCGCCAGCTTTTACTCCAACTCCGACGCATATCAGCGTTCACCTGGACACCGTGCCTCTGAAGAGATCTGGCACGCACGAACAGGACATCCAAGCAACACGGTTTTGAATAACACGATAAGAGCAGGAGTCCTTGACAAAGATTCTCTACTTCTACCCGATGGCAGAGAACTCCAGAAGGCACGAGGGACTTGCCTTATATGTCCCGAAGCTGACTTACCTCATCGACCGTTTGCTTCACATCACAACCCGAGCGCTCCAGCGTACGCACCACTCGAAAAAGTCTACAGCGACATCCTCTACAATCGCGAGCCAGGACAAGTCAACTACAACTACACCATCACCTTCATCGACGCCGCCACTCGATACGTCTGGCATCGCAACCTACCCAGCCGCGACATGGCGCTCGCAGCATTCGCCGCCTGGCTACCGATAGCAGAGAGAGAGTCTGGAACACAACTGAAAAAATTCCAGTCAGACGGAGGTGGCGAGTACACCTCTCACCGCTTCAAGCAGTTCTTGGCGGAAAGGGGGATCAAGCAACTCCTCTCCCTTCCTTACGCACATCAGCAGCAAGGTGTTGGAGAACGACTGAACAGGACCCTGCAGAACAGCATGCGCAAACTATTACGTGGCATGCGGCTACCCAACCACCAGTGGCCAGCAGCAATGGACCACGCTGTCATGCTACACAACTTGTTGTCGTCGTCGTCACTCCCGAACAACGCATCACCGCATCTGCTGTGGACAGGGAAGCAGGGCAGCACGAAAATGTTACGAGTTTTCGGGTGCATGGTACAGTACAGACCCCCAGAAGCACGAGCGGGAAGATTTTCGCAACGGGCACAGTGGGGACTACACCTCGGCATCGAGAAAAATTACAACGCATGGAAAATCTTCGACGTCCACACAAAGGAAACAGTAGCAGCACGTGACGTGATCTTCTACGAAAGACTCACCCTTCAGACGTACCTCGCCAACTTGCACGAGAATCGGGACCTCACCAGTGGTTTTCGTGGTGACCGAGCCTTCGCGTCAGCAGCGGACGAAGCAGACTGGGATGAACAGAACGTCGACAACGCCTCAGAAGAAGCCGGACCTCTCCCATACTGCTCCGTCGACGTGCCCATGGATGAGGATAATCCTCGCGACAGTAACAACGCCGAACTCTTCTACCGTTTCGCCGACGATGGTTACGTAACACCTGTGACAGTCAACACCAACGAAGCAGAAAGGGTAGGGCCAAATTTCATGCCCGACCCAGAAATGGGAGACGAAGCAGCTTATCCCGAGGATCCAGAACTCCCTCGATACTCACAGACTGGGCTGCAAATCCTCGGCCTCGTCACCGCAGTCCACGGGAACACACGCAGCTCGCTTCCTAAGGAGCCTGCAACGGTTCAGCAGGCTCTGGGGGGGGAACACAGGGAGAAATGGCGTGAAGCCATGGATAGAGAACTGAAGGCATTAGAGGAACGCAACACTTGGAAGGTTGTTCCCGTAAGCGTGGCACGGAACAAAACCATCCTTACCGGGAAATGGGTCTTCCGCATCAAGACGAAAGCAGACGGCACGATCGAAAAATTCAAAGCACGCTGGGTCGTACGTGGATTCGACCAAGAGCAAGGACGAGACTTCACCGAGACCTTTGCTCCAGTCAGCCGCCACACGTCACTCCGAATTCTCCTCGCCATTGCCGCCATGAAGAAGAAGAAGTTACGGCAGATCGACGTCGCGAATGCCTTCCTCTACGCACCTGTGGATGCAGAAATCTACGTCGAGCTCCCGCACGGTTCCCACGGCGAACCCAACCGAATCTGTCAACTACTTAAGTCGCTCTACGGGATCAAGCAGGCACCGCGACTGTGGCAGCAGTACCTGCACGCCCGTCTCATCCGCATCGGCTTTAGTCAACTACCTCACGACCAAGGCATGTACCGCCTCACTAAGGGAAGCGACTACGTTCTCCTGATCGTCTACGTGGACGATCTCCTCTACATTGGGTCAACCGACGGCATCGCCACGTGGTTCGAAGGAGAGCTCCAGAAAGACCTCACGCTCACGGTCTCCTCCACCGTTACACAGTACCTCGGGCTCAACATCCGCGAAGAAGAAAACGCCATCTATCTAAGCGCCGAGAAATACGCCGACACCATCGCGAAACGCTTCAGCCTCACACCAAGCGCCATCTCCACGCCCTACCGCTACACATCAGGAACCGAGAAGGAACGAACTACTCTACTCAAGCCCGCCGGCATACGCGACTATCAGAAGAAGCTCGGATGCCTGCTATTCGCCGCCGTCACCTGCCGTCCTGACTTATCCTACTCCGCAAGTCAGCTCGCCACCTATCTCAAGAAGCCTGAAGCTGAACACCTGGCGGAACTTGATCGCGCTCTCCACTACTTCGTCAGCACCGCGACGATCGGGCTAACCTACCACAAGAGCGCAGCTACACCGACTAAGCTAATCGGCTACGTCGACGCCGATCACGCCGGCGACACCGACAACAGGCGCTCACGCACCGGCTATGTCTACCGCCTTGAGCCTATCGGTCCTATCTCCTGGCAGTCGAGCAAGCAGGAGTTAATCGCACTATCTTCAGCAGAAGCAGAATATATTGCACTCTGCTCAGCCACCAAGGAGGGACTTTACCTTCGCGAACTACTGGAAGAAGCGAAGCTAGCCGAGTTACCCAGCTTCACCGTGTTCTGCGACAACGAGTCAGCAATTCGCATCGCCAACAAAAACGGCTTCGCAAACAGGACGAAACACATCGCCCTGCGCTATTTCTTCGTGAAGGACGAGATAGAAAAAGGGAAACTCGATCTGTCATACTGTCCAACATCCGAGATGGCAGCCGATTACTTGACCAAGAAACTCGGCAAGCAGAAGTTCGAATACTGCATGATGCTGACTGGACAAGGCCACGTCACCAGCAGTAACACTCCAGAAGCGAAGGGGAGTGTTGGAAACAATAAGTCCTAAGTGCGCTTCTGTCGTATCAAAATCCAAGGTACCAAGCGAAGCAGTCCCAATCGAAGCATCGAGTCAACCTCGGAGGTTAGGGTAACCGCCTGGAGGTTACGAGAAAGTCAAAGGTCGCTGACCTTTGACTCGACAATTACAGCGCGACAGTTAAGGACACACAACTGACTCGTTACAGAGCAGTTGCCCGAGTCGCGCTATATCGAACCGCAACAGCAATACAGTTATCTATCTATTCCCTGTACTCTTATATAAATCCTTGTATTTGCTTGTTTAATTCAATCAACTTTGCTCTCACACACCAGTGCAAGGTCGGTTCAAATTCTTCACTAAACGCTTCCGCTATTACAACTACTTCACCTAGAGTTATCCCTTGCAAAGATCCTAAGGGGCTATCTCAGCCCAACAAAACTCTCCATCTCGTCAAGCGAAAATCATGATTGACGAGAGTTTCGCAAGGGATACTACAGTGATCGGACCAGCCAGGGGCTGGTCTGTCGAACCAGATCAATGGTTCAAAATCCCGTAGCTTTCAGTCCGTCGGTGGTTCACCCCCTGGTTCTCGAGCTGGTCCGGCGGGTCCGCGTCGGACTCGCGCGGACTCTCGCATTTGAGACACGTCCTGAGGCGGACCAGCCATGAGGGCGCGTCATTTTCTTCTCAAAATATGTCCTCCCCATCCCGAACCATCTTTCCATTGATTGTATCGATGTAAGACGTTTTGTGTATACTAAGGCATTTGACCCGAACGGGTCAGGTAACCCGACCTGACCGACCTTTTTGGCGGGTCGGGTATATAATTATGATTGGATTATCCGGGCGGGTCGGGTATGTATACCCACGTCGGGTAACCTATACCCGATACCCGACCCGGGTGTTCAAACTCGGGGTTTGAGACCCGATACCCGACCTGGTTAAACATGCTTGAGGCTTGCAAAATGCCATAAGAAGCGCCTAACTACTAATTTTCAACTAGGAGTTTAGGTAATCAATGAGAGCGCACCGTCACATTGTGTGAAATGTAAGATGAATTAAAATTTAATCACATTGTCTTTACGGGTACCCGGCCCAACCTCGGGTTATAAATACCCGAGGTGTACAAAGCGGTTCGGGTACTAACCTGACCCTTAGTACCCGAGGTCGGGTACCCGATCCGACCCCACCAAACCTAGGGTAGCCCCCAAACGGTTCGGGTCGGGTCGGGCCAATGCCTAAGCCTAGTTTTGTGTCTCATTGAGCCTCACATTCAAACGAGCGTAAATGACGCGCCCTAATGAGAACGACAGTGATATTAGGGCGTGTGTGATTTTATTCTAGGTTCTAGGCTGCGGTAGTGTCTGCCACAGTTATCACACGACGGGTTATAGATTCCCCGTTTCACCGCTCTAAGCTCACCGCAGAAAGGCGCTTGTAAACTGGAATAGCACTCCATCTCAGCTCTTTCGCCTTGCCAGATTTAACCAAATCAACCCGCGGATCTCGCCGCGATGGACGCGACGGAGGACGAGATCGCGCGCATGCAGGAGGAGCGGCGCGCCAAGGAGCAGGAGCTGGCGGCGCTGGCGTCGGTGAGCTTCGACAAGGATCTGTACGGCGGCGGCGACAAGGACCGCTTCGCGGGCTACGAGATGTCGATCCCCGTGATGGAGGACGAGGAGGAGCAGGATGCCACGGAGCGGGAGGTCGCCAGGTTAGTTTCTCCGTAGGATCTTGAGACGTTGCAGCACGGGTAGAAGTAGATGGTGGCGAGCGGCAAGGACCGGTTCGCGGAATACTACGAGATGTCCATTCCCGTCATGGAGGACGAGGAGGAGCAGGACGCAACTGAGCGGGAAGTCGCGAGGTGGGATTCCACTCTAGAGTGTTTAGACACGGAGAGGCGCCATACTTGCCTGTTTCCACTTCTCGATTTTTTTTTCCAAAATCTTCGGAGCAGCATTTATTGGTTCCGTTTCCGTCTGTAGCCGGCGTCGTCCCCTTTTTTTCGAGCATATTGTTGTCCTTGGTCATTCGTCGAGCTGCATGGCTGCCAATTCTCCATACGCGATAGTTTTCCGCCACCGGCCGTTGGACTCGCGGAACCAACCAAGCATTTCATTAAGCTCCGCCTTTCTCCCAAGAGCCGCAATCTCAGCGATCCTTTCCTTAGATTCCGCAAGCTCCCCATGTTTCCTCCGCTGCACGGACATCGCTTGTACAACTCATTGATTTTCCCGATTTTTGGGAGATTTCGCTCTTGCTTGTCCGACACGTCATGCCGCCAGCAGAGTTTTCATTCACCAACCGTCATACGTCTCTATTTTGCTCCATCTCCAGTGCGCCGGCCGACTTAATCCTCTATCGCTTATTCTGCTCTTAAGGAGCGCATGCTTCGTTCCTTGGATTAGATCCGTTCTGACCCTAGCCTACCTCTTTAATTATTCCCTTCCCTTATCCCGCCATGTTGTCTTTTAAGCTACCATCGACGAATTCCACGGCACACAGCGCCCAACGAGCTGCTGCACGTACTCGTGGATGATGGGAGCGTGGCGTCGCCTTTTTTCTAGTTTTGACGGATTCTTCTGCTCTCCGCGTTCCCTCCTTCGCTCCCCTTTAGGAAGCTGGCGTCCTACACGGCGCCCAAGGAGCTGCTGCACGAGGTGAGGTGCATGCATCTGCGCTGCGACACTGACTCACCTCGCCCCTTGTGCTCTCTCACTCTCCCCTCTCTCACTCTCCCCTCTCTCACTCTCCCCTCTCTCTCCCCCCCTCTCTCTCTCTCCCCTCTCTCTCTCTCTCCCCTCGCCAGGAAGCTGGCGTCGTACACAGCGCCCAAGGAGCTGCTGCACGAGCTGCCGCGCGGAGAGGCGGAGGAAGAGGTGCGACGGGGGGTGGGGAGGGGGGAACGGGGTGGGGGGGAAGGGGAAGGTGAGGTGGGTGGGTGGGGGAGTGAAGGGGGACGGGAGAGAGGCGGAGAGATTGTTGAGGCGTGCGAGGAGGGGGGGGAGATAAAGCTGTAGGGAGGTCAGACGGAGGTAACGATGTGAGGGAGGGACGAGGGGGAAGTGAGGGGGAAGAGAAGAGGGAGGGAGAAAGGTGAGAGGAATTGGGGTGAGGAAATGGTAGGCTCTGCGGGTAGCGGGAGAGTGGGAGAAACTGTTAGATTGTTGGGCCGAATAGGGCAGGCATGTTGCTGTGTGGTATGAGGAATGAAGGTATGCCCTTCCGTCCCATACTTCCCTTCCCACACTGCCTCTTTCAATCGCCCTCGCCTCCTCGTTATCATGTCCCACTCCCTTTCCACCTCTCCACCTCTCCACTTCTCTGCCTCCCACTCTCCCTCTCTGCTCCCTCTCCAGGTTGCATGGCTAAAGGAACCATCACACATCATGTTGCGTGTGTGACAATGTGACCAGCTGATTTCTGAGCAATTGGCAACCCCCACTTACCCTCTCTCCCCCTCCCCCCCTCCCTCTTCTTCCCCCAGCCGGTGGGGTTCAAACAAGAAGCCATCGCGCATCATAGACAGGGAGGATGACTGTCGGCGCCGCTGCCTCTTGTAACCTTGTTCATGCCCCACTCTCCGTCCCTCCTTCTGTTCCCCCTCCCCCCCAAACCCCCCTTTTCTCCCCCTCACCAGCCCGCGGGGTTTAAGAAGCCATCGCGCATCATAGACAGGGAGGACGACTACCGGCGCCGCCGCCTCAACCGGATTATCTCGCCCGACCGCCATGATGCCTTTGCCATGGTATGTATGTACGGCCCGTTCTCCATTATACAGCCCGGTCGCAATGGTGCGTACGAAGCTGACGTGGGACTGACGGGATCTTGAAGTGTCTAGATTGTTATGCCTGTTGCGTTGCAATGCTGACGGAGGGAGGAGGAGGCGAAGTCGCAAGGTGGCTAAAACGTTGCTGCATGTATGTGTGTGTTGCTCTCGTTCGCTTTCTCTCTTGCCCTCCTCTCCCTCTTCCCATCCTCCAGGAAAACGCGACGCCTGATGCTGCAGTTCGCACATACGCGGACGCGATCGAGTGGGAGGCACTGAATCGGGACAAGGAGATGTTGGGGCGCCAACACATATGCTGCATGTATGTGTGTGTGTGTGTGTCTCTCTCCCTCTCTCCCCTCACCCTTACCCCATGCACCAGGGTGACGCCACCCCTGATGCCGCAGTGCGCACGTACGCGGACGTGATCAAGGAGGAGGCGTTGAAGCGCGAGAAGGAGGAGACGCTGAGGCAGATCGCCAAGAAGAAGGCGGAGGAGGCTGAGAGGAAGGCTGCTGAGCTCTCCTCCGCGCCCACCAAGGCCCAAGGCGCCGCTGCCGCCCCCGCTGCCGCTGCTGCCGCCCCTGCTGCTGCAGCTCCCAGTGCTGCTGCTGCTGCTGCTGCGGGGAGCAAGAGGAGGAATCGGTGGGACGTGGCGGGAGGGGGAGGGCCTGGTGCTGCGGAGGTTGAAGCCAAGTGAGTGTGGTGGGGTGGACGAGGGGGATGAAGGTTGGGAGGGGGAGGGCCTGGTGCTGCGAGGTTGAGGTCAAGTGAAGTATGGGAGGGTGGGTGGGGAGGGGAGGTTCTGTGTGTAGTGTAGGTGTGTGTGTGTGTGATGTTCACTCTTTCGCATCCCTTCACCTTAGTTCTTTTGATCTTGCTGCCGCTGCTGCCCTGTCGGGGTGGCTTCAATGTATGTGGTGCGTGCGTACACCATGCGTACACCTTGGCCTTGGAACTCTGTAACTCGCAACGTGTGGATCGCTCGGCTCGGCTCGGCTTTCCTGTGCTAACTTCAATGCCTCCCTCCCTCACTCCTCGTGTCGTTGCCGCTGCGGTGGATTGCAGGAAGCCCAAGGCAGCAGCTGATTGGGATGCTCCAGATGCCACTCCCGGCGCTGCTAGGTGAGAGACCGTCACATGCTAGGTGAGACACCGTCACATGCTAGGTGAGACACCGTCACATGCTAGGTGAGACACCGTCACATGCTAGGTGAGAGACCGTCACATGCTAGGTGAGAGACCGTCACATGCTAGGTGAGAGACCGTCACATGCTAGGTGAGACACCGTCACATGCTCTCCTGCTGCCGCTTCTGCTCTTTTCCTCTGCGTTTTGTCGCACTGCACTGCACGGCACACTGCTGCTCTTTGCATAAGCCACCACCATGTCTCGCATTTTCTACCATACCTACCAACCTAGGGTTGTGTTGTGGGTCAGTCGTTGCACCACCATCCCCTGCCAATTCTGATCTAGGGTTCCCCAGATTAGCTCGTGTTCTCCACCTCAGTTCATTCCCCCTCTCCCTGCCTATCCCCTTTCCCCGTCTAACTCCGCTCCCCTCCTATCCGTACCCGCCCCTCCCTCCTCCCCCCCCACCCACCCTCTCATCTCTCCTCTTTTCCCTCCCCCAGTCGCTGGCACGCCCCTACCCTGGGGAGTGGCAGTGCGGTCGACGCCACCCCCACGCGCGAGTGCATTCTGGATATCTCACTAATCCTCAACCTCATCTGTTCCCCTACCTTCCCTTCGCCTCCCCTCCCCTCCCCTCCCCTCCCCTCCGCTCCCCCTGCCCTCCCCTCCCCTTCCCTCCCTCCCCTCCCCTTCCCTCCCTCCCCTCCCCTTCCCTCCCTCCCCTCCGCTCCCCCTCCCTCCCCTCCGCTCCCCCTCCCTTCCTCCCCTCCTCTTCCCCTCCCCAGTCGTTGGGACGCTCCCACCCCTGGTCGGGGCAGTGCAGTGGACGCCACCCCCACGCCCGGCCCCCGCCGCAACCGATGGGATGAAACCCCCTCCCACGGCGGAGTAATGCCGGACGACGCCACCCCCTCCGCGCTCCCGGGCGGCGGCGGCGCCACCCCGGGGCTGGGCGGCGGGGCCACGCCGGCCGGCATGGCTTGGGACGCCACGCCGAAGCTCTCGGCCGGCGCCACCCCGACCCCGAAAAAGACGCGGTCCAGATGGGACGAAACGCCGGCCGGCGGAGGCGTTACCCCCGCGGGCGGCGGGGGCGGCGCCACCCCGTCCGCTGCTGTAGGCATGACCCCCTCGGGGATGACTCCGGGGGGGGTGACATTTGGGGGAGCTACACCTGGTGGGTTCGGGGTCACACCGGTGGGAGGAATGGACATGGCAACTCCCACCCCGGGTCAAATCGCCCTACGGGGGCCGCTCACCCCGGAGCAATTCACCATGCTGCGATGGGAGAGGGAGATTGAGGAGCGGAACAAGCCACTCTCAGATGAGGAGCTGGATGCCATGTTTCCCTTAGACGGATATAAGGTGCTCGAACCCCCTGCCTCGTACGTCCCCATCCGCACCCCTGCGAGGAAGCTCCTCGCGACGCCGACCCCGATGGGAGGAGCAGGGGGGGGTGCGACGCCGCTGTATGCGATTCCGGAGGAGGATCGGCAGCAGCTGTTTGACGTGGGGAAGGAGGTGCCGGGGCTGCCGAACCTGAAGCCGGAGGACTACCAGTACTTTGGCGCGCTGCTGAACGAGGAGGAGGAGGAGAAGATGAGCGCGCAGGAGAAGACCGAGAGGAAGATCATGAAGCTGCTGCTCAAGGTGGGTGGGGGAGAAGAGGGAAGTGGGTTGGGGTTGGAATGGGAAAGAGGGAGGAAGATGGGTTGGTGTGGGTGGGATGGTAAGGAGGAGGTGCTCGTTCTCACCTGCTTGCTTCTTGCACTCTAACCCACACTCTCTTCCACTACTCACACTTATCGGTTTTATCTCCCCTGTACCCCTCTGCACCACCCCACCCCGCATCCACGGTTACAGGTGAAGAACGGCACGCCTCCCCAGCGCAAGACGGCGCTGAGGCAGCTGACAGACAAGGCGCGGGAGTTTGGTGCGTCCGCCCTCTTCAACCAGATCCTGCCGCTGCTCATGTCGCCCACCCTGGAGGACCAGGAGAGGCATCTGCTCGTCAAGGTGAGTCAATGCTGGTCAACGCTGGTGAACGCCGGCCGGTCAGCGCTGGTCAATGCTGTTATAGCTACCCTTTTCCAATCACATCCTCCCGCTGCTGATTTTGCACAAGATGCCACAAGATGCCACTTGCACCTCATCACATCCCTCCGCTCTCCTTACACCTCATCTTGCCCACACCACAGGTCATCGATCGCATTCTGTACAAGCTGGACGAGTTGGTGCGCCCCTTCGTGCACAAGATCCTGGTGGTCATCGAGCCGCTGCTCATTGACGAGGACTACTATGCACGTGTGGAAGGCAGAGAGATTATCTCCAACCTCAGCAAGGTAAGCTGGTGGGGAGGGAGATCAACTGAGAGGGCCTTAGCAAAGGGCTGTGGTTTTTGGGCCTCTGCAAGTGTAAGCTGGACATTTTCTGACTCGACTCAAAGCAAAGGGCCAGGAGATCATCTGTAGCGGCAAGTCTTTTCTTGATTGATCTGCACAGTTCGTGTGGCTGAAAGCTCTCAGAGCCAAGGTGCAAAAAAACGACGTTTTTTTCAAATTTTGATCGTAAAATACCGTATTGTAAGAAATGATCGTAAAAAACGATAAAAAAACTGTTTTTGAAAATAAATACTTTTGGTGCAAAAAAAACCTTCGTTTTTTTCAGTAAAAATACCAAAAATGCTGCTGAAACAAGGGGATTGATTGGTGAGAAGAACAAGGGGGCCGTTAGAAGTGCTGATGATGCAGCGGAAGATCGGTAGAAGTGCTTTTGTGATCAGAACAGCATCTTTGAACAGCAACAGAAAAACGCATTTTTTTCTCAAAAGGTACCGTAAAAAACCATTGAAAAAAACAATCGTATTTTTCGACAATCGTTTTTTTCTACCTTGCTCAGAGCGCTTGGAAACCTTGTGTATTCCACTTTCCGGTATGAGAAAACAAGGCTTTTATCTTCCTATCTTGACACTTTTGTTTCTGTACGTCCTCGCATGGCATGTGTCCCGTCGTCACAACCCCTGCTTTTCTTCCTCGTGTCCTTAGTCTTGCTTCTCCCCTTGTCTTTCCACTCACAAGCAGCAGGCCTGGCAACGATGATCGCAGCCATGCGGCCGGACATAGACAACATGGACGAGTATGTGTGCAACACCACCGCACACGAATTGCCAGTGCTGGCCTGACGTCCTCATTTCCGCCTCACTCACACCCTTATTTTCCTCTCTCCCCCTGTCATCTCCTCTTCTAACAGGCAGCAGGCCTTGCAACGATGATTGCAGCCATGCGGCCCGACATAGACAACGTGGACGAGTACGTGCGCAACACCACCGCGCGCGCCTTCTCCGTGGTGGCCTCCGCGCTCGGCATCCCCGCTCTGCTGCCCTTCCTGAGGGCCGTGTGCGCCAGCAAGAAGTCGTGGCAGGCGCGGCACACGGGCATCAAGATCGTGCAGCAGATTGCGATTCTCATGGGGTGCGCCGTGCTGCCGCACCTGCGCTCCCTGGTTGATATCATTGAGCATGGGCTGGGAGACGACAACCAGAAGGTGAGAGTGGGGGTGGGGTTGTGCATGTGTGTTGACTCGATCATTGAACTGTCTCTTGCTTGTGAGTATTTATCAAGCATGGGCCGGGGGACAACGACAACCACAAGGTGAGACTTGGGGCGGAAAGGGATCCGATGAGAATGTAGGGATAGGAATGTGTTTGCGACATCACGACACAACTAGGGTTGCTGATGGATCACTGACCATGGGCTGGCTGGGGGACCACAAACCAGAAGTCGCCATCACATGGTGGTTCCTCGCAGATGCACTACCCCAAGTGTCAGCACACCATCCGCCAGAGCTCTGACTTGGGTGCTCTCTCTCACATCCCTCCATTCGCTTTCTTCTCTCTCTCTTCTCCTTCCATGGCTCCAGGTTCGCATCGCACCATCACGTCCCTCTCCCTCGCAGCTATAGGAGAGGCATCGGCGCCCTACAGCATCGAGAGCTTTTACTTCGTGCTCTCGCTCACAACCATTCCATCCATGTCTCCCTCCCTTCCTTCCCCCCCATCCCCCCTCTGCCTCTCCCCACCTGTCCCCATCACCTGTCCCCCCCTCTCCCACCTCTCCCCACCTGTCCCCATCACCTGTCCCCCCCTCTCCCACCTCTCCCCACCTGTCCCCATCACCTGTCCCCCCCTCTCCCACCTCTCCCCACCTGTCCCCATCACCTGTCCCCCCCTCTCCCACCTCTCCCCACCTGTCCCCATCACCTGTCCCCCCCTCTCCCACCTCTCCCCACCTGTCCCCATCACCTGTCCCCCCCTCTCCCACCTCTCCCCACCTGTCCCCATCACCTGTCCCCCCCTCTCCCACCTCTCCCCACCTGTCCCCATCACCTGTCCCCCCCTCTCCCACCTCTCCCCACCTATCCCCATCACCTGTCCCCCCCTCTCCCACCTCTCCCCACCTGTCCCCATCACCTGTCCCCCCCTCTCCCACCTCTCCCCACCTGTCCCCATCACCTGTCCCCCCCTCTCCCACCTCTCCCCACCTGTCCCCATCACCTGTCCCCCCCTCTCCCACCTCTCCCCACCTGTCCCCATCACCTGTCCCCCCCTCTCCCACCTCTCCCCACCTGTCCCCATCACCTGTCCCCCCCTCTCCCACCTCTCCCCGCCTGTCCCCATCACTCAGGTGCGCACTATCACAGCGCTCTCTCTGGCAGCGCTGGCAGAGGCGTCAGCACTGTACAGCATTGAGAGCTTTGACTCTGTGCCCAAGCGGCTGCTTACTTGTGATCCCTCTCTCTCCCCCCCACCCTCCTTACTCAGGTGCGCACCATCACGGCGTTATCCCTGGCAGCGCTGGCAGAGGCGTCAGCCCCCTACGGCATTGAGAGCTTTGACTCCGTGCTCAAGCCGCTGTGGAAGGGTATTCGTGCGCACCGCGGGAAGGTTCTTGCGGCCTTCCTGAAGGCGATCGGGTTCATCATCCCCCTGATGGACGCCATGTATGCCAGCTACTACACCCGCGAGGTACGGAGAGACAGGGGTGCATGTGTATTGGGTTGGGTTCATCATAGGGGGCTCATGGGGGCACATGTGTTGGGTTCATCATAGGGGGCTCATGGGGGCACATGTGTGGGGTTCATCATAGGGGGCTCATGGGGGCACATGTGTGGGGTTCATCATAGGGGGCTCATGGGGGCACATGTGTGGGGTTCATCATAGGGGGCTCATGGGGGCACATGTGTGGGGTTCATCATAGGGGGCTCATAGGGGCACATGTGTGGGGTTCATCATAGGGGGCTCATGGGGGCACATGTGTGGGGTTCATCATAGGGGGCTCATGGGGGCACATGTGTGGGGTTCATCATAGGGGGCTCATGGGGGCATATGTGTGGGGTTCATCATCCCCCTGATGGACGCCATGTACGCCAGCTACTACACTCGTGAGGTGCGTGGGCGATGGGGGGAGATGGGAGGGAAGGACTGGGATACATCGGTCCTTATGGGTGGGTATGGTGGGGTACGTCTCTTCATCATTCCCCTGATGGACGCCATGTATGCGAGCTACTGCACACACGAGGTGAGTGGGAGAGGGATGTGTAGGGGAAGGGTGGGGGTGGCATGAACGGGAGGGCACGGGGCGGGGGCGGAATCACCAGATCATCCATCTTTTGGATGCCATGCATGCGAGCGACTGTGCATGCTGGGTGACTGCACTCTGTGTGCATGGACTGACAATGCCTCTTCTTTTCCTTGCATCTCCAACTCTCCCACCCTCCCTTCCCCTCCCTTGCCTCCCCTCCCCTCCCCTTCCCACCTCCCTGCTCGTTCAGGTGATGGTGGTGCTGATCCGCGAGTTCCAGTCACCAGACAAGGAGATGAAGAAGATCGTGCTCAAGGTGGTGAAGCAGTGTGTGGGCACGGACTGACCCTGTCTCTTCCTCCCTCTCCACCTCTCCTCTTCTCCCCTCCCGCCCACTTATAGGTGATGGTGGTGCTGATTCGCGAGTTCCAGTCGCCGGACGAGGAGATGAAGAAGATAGTGCTGAAGGTGGTGAAGCAGTGTGTGGGCACGGACGGCGTGGAGCCGGACTACATCCGCACGGAGATCCTCCCCGAGTACTTCAAGCACTTCTGGGTGCGCCGCATGGCGCTCGATCGACGGAACTACAAGCAGCTCGTTGAGACCACAGTGGAGATTGCTAATAAGGTTAGTGGATTGACCAGTTGGGTCCTTGTTTGGGGTGCAACAGCCCAGCAGGAGATCCTCCCCGAGTACTTCAAGCACTTCTGGGTGCGCCGCATGGCGCTGGATAGGAGAAACTACAAGCAGCTGGTTGAGACGATGGTGAAGATTGCCAATAAGGTGTGTGAGTTGGGTATTGAGGGAGGGGAGGGGGGAGTATGGGTAGGTTGTTGACTGGTTGGGTCCTTGTGTTGCAGTGTCTAATCTTATCCGAGCCGACGTTGACTCAGTGGTAGCAGTTGCAACACGACCAATGGAGGCAGAAGAGGGAAGGGAGGTTGAGGAGGGGTAGGGGAGGGGACTGTGCAAGGCAGGTGAAACGGGAATCAGGACGTGGGAGTTGTTATCAGAAGCTCCGCAAACCATGTGTTGTCACAAGTGGAAATCTGGCGAAGGGACTCACATGATTCGCAGAGTTTCTTATAACAACTCCCACGTCCTGATTCCCATTCTCGCTGCCTTGCACCATCCAATCCCCCATCCCCTCCCTCCTCTGCCTCCCTTCCCTCTTCTGCCTCCATTGGCTGTCTGTGTTGCAACTGCTCTCATTGTGTCAACGCCGGCTCGGTTGCGACAGGAGAATGTGGTGTAGCAGCGTGAGGGGACAGTCAGTGTGCGACCAGGCGGGCATGAGTGACATAAGTAGTTGCATTGCAGGGCATTACAGCAGAGTGACGTGATTGCAGGGCAGGGTGGGTCGTATTTGGCAGAAGACCTTGAGGAGGACCACAGCCAGCCATCTCTGTCCTCCGCTCACCTGTTTCTTCCCTTCACCATGTCCCCTTATCCCCATGTACAAACTCATCACCTTCCCTTCCCTTGCAGGTGGGGTTGAGCGACCTCAACGTTATCCTTCACTCACCATTCCCCTCGCTTCACCGTATCCTCTTATCCCCTCACTCACATCTCTCTCCCCCCCCCCTAACAGGCGGGGGTGAGCGACATCATAGGGCGTGTGGTGGAGGACCTCAAGGACGAGAGTGGTCCGTCTTTGGCCTTCACTACCATATCCCTCACCTCACCATATCCCTCCCTCGATCACATCTCCCTCTCCACCCACTCCCACCCACTCCCACCCACAACCCCCCATCCTCAGGCGGGGGTGAGCGACATCATAGGGCGCGTGGTGGAGGACCTCAAGGACGAGAGTGAGCCGTACCGGCGCATGGTGATGGAGACGGTTGAGAAGGTGCTCACCAACCTGGGGGCCGCTGACATCGACGCGCGGCTTGAAGAGTTGTTGATCGACGGCATCCTTTACGCATTCCAGGAACAGGTGGGTGTGTGTTTGTTTTGGTGGGGACTTTTTGCTCTATGCATGACAGAGGGTGCATGGTGATGGAGACGGTGGAGAAGGTGCTCACCAACCTGGGCGCCGCTGACATTGACGCACGGCTGGAGGAGCTTCTGATCGATGGGATTCTTTACGCCTTCCAGGAGCGGGTGGGTGATTTGAAGGAGCAGGAGATGCGTGAAGGGTGGTGTAGGCTCGACACATGACAGAGGGCGCATGGTGATGGAGGCGGTGGAGAAGGTGCTCTCTAACCTGGGGGCCACTGACATCGATGCCAGGCTGGAGGAACTACTGATTGACGGAATCCTCCATGCGTTCCAGGAGCAGTTGGGTGGGTGACTGGCAGCAGGTGGTTGCGTATGTGCGTGGGCTAGTGAGGCACATCGCATGGTGATGGAGACGGTGGAGAAGGTGCTCACTAAGCAGAGGGCTGCTGATATTGATGCTCGACTTGAAGAGCTGCTGATCGGCAGCTCTGGTTAGTGAGCACCTTCTCAACCGTCCATCAGGAGCAGGTGAGTGTGTGTGTGGGTGATTAAAGATGTGGGGTGGGTGGGGACAGCAGGTGAGGGGGGGATATCATGGAATATCAGTTAGTCTAGTGAGGCGCATGGTGTTGGAGACAGGAAGGGCGATGGGAAGGCATGAAGCTTGCATGCATGGGGATGGGAAGGCATGAAGCTTGCATGCATGATGTTAAGTTGAGTTGCTGCTTCTGTTCATGCTATTGACGATGTTGTTCTCAATGTCTTTGGCAATGGCAGGCAACGGCAACAATCGGCTCATGCTTTGTATGGTTATTTTGTAGCAATAATAACTCCATCCCTCTCTTGGACACATACACCACACCATGATGGTATGGCATTGACGCATGGGTGATGGTGCTGTTGTGCACTGTACATGCATGTGCAATCATGTCTGTGTCATTGCGTGTGAGTGCAGACAAGCGACGACGCGAATGTAATGCTCAACGGCTTTGGCACGGTGGTGAATGCGCTCGGGCAGAGAGTGCGTCCCTACCTCCCCCAGGTCAGTGCCTCCCTCTGCAGTGCAGCTCAGCATTTATATCCGCTGTGGATGCAGCTAGTTCTCTGTAGCCTTAGCACCCCTGTCTACTGTGACCACTGTTTGCTCTCTTGTCTCTGCAGCGTCCACAGGTCCTTTGCTCGTCTCTGTTTCTCCCCTCCATTTTCGTCGCCTCTTTTTCCCTTCCGTTTTCCCTGTCTGTGTTTCAGATCTGTGGAACGGTGAAGTGGCGGCTGAACAACAAGAGTGCCAAGGTGCGGCAGCAGGCAGCGGATCTGATAGCGCGCATTGCCGTGGTCATGAAGGCGTGCGGGGAGGAGCAGCTTATGGGGCACCTGGGCGTCGTGCTTTACGAGTACCTGGGAGAAGGTGAGTCGGGTCCATGGTGTGGCACAGTGCAGTGCGGTTGAGTACACTGCAATGTGATTCAATGCGGTGCAGTGGCATGTCGTGCATGTAGCAAGAGTGCGGCAGCAGGCGGCGGACCTGATAGCGCGCATTGCCGTGGTGATGAAGGCGTGCGGGGAGGAGCAGCTCATGGGGCACCTGGGCGTCGTGCTCTACGAGTAGGGATGAGCATAAGGCGAACGCGAACATGTTCGCGTTCGTCTTAGCTCGAACAGGGCTGTTCGGCGAACCGAACTCACCAGAAAGGGTGTTCGAAGTTCGCCCATAGAGGCGAACATTTCGAACGTTTTGGCGAACACGAACACGTTTGCCGAGAACATGTTCGTGTTCGCTTTAGAGGGGTAGCACTACAATTCTATAGATTTAACGGTGGAAACCACTTCAACGGTGGTGCAAACCCTAAAAGTACAGACGAATCTTCAACCTTGGAGTAGATGCTACGTTCTTAGTGTTGAACATCGAAGTCACCATAAACCCTAAACGCCATAGTTTTATAAGTACGGTCTTGGGCCTATGCTACTACTAGAAGGTGTGGGTGTGGTTGGTGGTTGTGGGGTGGGCGGGCTGTTGGGAGCGCCATGGTTGACAAGCTGAAAAAAATGAGCAACAATTGTGAGGGCCGCGACCCTAAATTAGGTCGCGGCACTTTCAGCGACGAACATTTTAGGTGTTCGTCGACAAGTGTGTTGAACACGAACATGTTCGCGTTCGACGCGCCTCAGGACATCGCGGCCGGCGAACAGCGAACATATTCGCCCGAACGTCGAACATGTTCGGGACGAACATTTTCAGGCAAAAAAAAATCCCGTTCGGTTCGTCTCGAACATGTTCGAGACGAACCGAACGGGTGTTCGCCAATATGCTCATCCCTATTTACGAGTACCTGGGAGAAGGTGAGTAGAGTAGGATATGGTGTGCATGGTGCAGTAAGGTGCAGTGTGGTGCAGTAGAATAATAGAGCAGTGGTGATGAAGGCGTGCGGGGAGGAGCAGCTCATGCGACATCTGGGCGTCGTGTTGTGCGAGTACCTGGGAGAAGGTATGATGCAGTGTAGTGTGGTGCAGTGTGGTGTGTATGGTGTGGTCTGGTGGTAACATAGAGCTGTGCTGATGAGGGCATGTGGGAGGAGCAGCTGATGGGGCACCTGGCTGGGCATCGTGTTATACGTGTACCTGGAATGTGGGTTGAATTCAGTGTGTCATGGTTCAGTGCGGTTCAGTGCGGTGTCATGCGTTCAGTGGAGCAGCTCACGGGGCACCTTGGTGTGGTGTTCGCGAGTACCTGTAGGTAGGTACCATGCGGTAGGGCTCGGTGTCATGCGGTGCAGTCCGATGAAGTGTCATGCATGCAGTGGAGCAGCTCACGGGGCACCTGGGCTGGCTCACGTGATTGGCATGATCAAAATGACTCCCCCTCCCAATTGTTGCTGATATCCACACACCACACCTATGTGACACACTCTCTCGCCCTCTCCCTCCCTCCAGAGTACCCCGAGGTGCTGGGGTCCATCCTGGGCGCGCTCAAGGTCATAGTGAATGTGATTGGCATGACCAAGAGGTTCCCTTCCACCCCTTGCTGCTCATACCCACACATTAATGCCCACCCCACCTGTGTCACTCTCTCTCCCAACTGTGCCATGCCCCTTCCCCTCCCTCCAGAGTACCCCGAGGTGCTGGGGTCCATCCTGGGAGCCCTCAAGGCCATAGTGAACGTGATCGGCATGACCAGGATGTTCCTCCCCTTGCTACTCCTTCCCACACGCACATCACAACACACCAATGCGCCATGCACTTGTGCCACCCTCTCTCTCTTCCCTTAATCCCTCCAGAGTACCCCGAGGTGCTGGGGTCTATCCTGGGAGCGCTCAAGGCGATAGTGAACGTGATCGGCATGACCAAGATGACTCCTCCCATCAAGGACCTGCTGCCCCGCCTCACGCCCATCCTCAAGAACAGGCACGAGAAGGTAAGTCGCCGTTGTTTTGTTCTTCCTTCACACGAATTTGGGCTGCATATGTGGCCCGCTCCGCTCCTCCCCCCCCCTCCCCTCTCCCCCAACCCCACTGCCAGGATAAAGCATTTCGTTGAGTAGTGGGATGCATTGCAGGCTCACAGGCTGAACCATCCTTCCTTCAATCCGTGTCCTCTCCTGTGTGTGGTGCAAACACCACCCTACTGCCACCATCATTCCCACCACCACCTCACCAAACCCCGCTCCACCCACAGGTGCAGGAGAACTGCGTCGATCTGGTGGGACGCATTGCAGGCACACAGGCTAAACCTCTGGTTTCACCCATCCTTAACACGCCGCCTCCTCTCTCCCCTGACCCCTTCCCCCCCTCCCTTGTCTTCCACCAACACTATTCCACCCCACAGGTGCAGAAGAAGTGCATTGCAGACAGACAATCTGAACCCTCCTCTCTTCAATCCGTCTCTCTCCCTGTATGTGTGTTGCCAACACCACTCACACCACCCCCATACGACTTTCCCACCACCCCGCACTACCATTCGCAGGTGCAGGAGAATTGCATCGACCTGGTGGGGCGCATTGCGGACAGGGGAGCGGAGTTCGTGCCGGCGAGGGAGTGGATGCGCATCTGCTTTGAACTGCTCGACATGCTCAAGGTGCGTGACTGGGATAGACCGTAGGGTGGAGATGGGTGTGCTTAAGGTGAGGCGGAGGGAGAAAAAAAATCGCTCCATTGAGCAGCGAGGGAGTGGATGCGCATGTGCTTTGAGCTGCTGAACATGCTCAAGGTGCGAAGGGAGGGGGTGAGAGGGGTGTGGCCAGGGAGTTAAGGAGAATGGATGAGGAAATCGCGGCATAGGTTAGGAGTGAGAGGCAATTACGCACGAGGGAGTGCATGCGCATATGCTTCGAGCTACTGGACATGCTCAAGGTGTGTGAAGCGTGAGGAGAGCGGGCTTGGTCAAGGTGATGGATGGTCAGGTGGAGGGGGCTATGCCGGTGTGGGAAAGTGCGAGCATGGGTGCAGTACCAGGTAAACAGGTGAGGGAAAAGATGCTGTTATGCTTACAAGGTGGTGATAGTGGTGGTGGTAGTGCTGCTATGAGTAGTGGCGACTGCCACAGGGCAGGGCGTCTCCCAAATGTTCTTGAGATGCTGCTCCAAATCCGTTTCTCTCCTGCTGCCCCTCTTTATTTTCCCCTCTGCCCTCTCTTCAGGCGCACAAGAAGGGAACCCGGGGAGCCACGGTGAACACCGTTGGGTACATTGCCACATGATAAGAGTGTAGTTTTGAGACGTCTCAAAACATCGCCAAGGCCATCGGCCCACAGGATGTGCTGGCAACGCTGCTGAACAACCACAGGGTGCAGGAGCGGCAGAACAAGGAGCGGCAACCTATCTTCTTCTCTCACCCTGCTGGCCCTTCCCTCTCCCCCAGGCACACAAGAAGGGAGTCAGACGTGCTACAGTGAAAACCTTTGGTTACATCGCCAAGGCCATTGGCCCTCAGGACGCGCTGGCAACGTGGCTCCTCCCTCTCTTACCCTGCTGCGCCCAATTCCCCCTCCCTTTTCTACTCCCTTTCAGGCACACAAGAAGGGAATTCGGCGTGCCACGGTGAACACCTTTGGGTACATCGCCAAGGCCATCGGGCCCCAGGACGTGCTGGCGACGCTGCTGAACAACCTCAAGGTGCAGGAGCGGCAGAACCGCGTGTGCACCACCGTGGCCATTGCCATTGTGGCTGAGACCTGCTCGCCCTTCACTGTGCTGCCTGCCCTGATGAACGAGTGAGTGCCGCATGTAGCAACAATAGCTGATCAGACTCTGCTTTTGAGGTGCCTCGAAAGCAACTGCTGGGCAGGATTGAGGTGAGTGATGGTGGTGCTGAACAACCTCAAGGTGCAGGAGCGGCAGAACCGCGTGTGCACCACCGTGCTCTTGTTGCTGAGACCTGCTCTTCCTTCACCGTGCTGCCTGCTCTCATGAGCGAGTGAGTGCTGCTTTGATGAAGACAATGAAACTGTGAAGCAGAGGGGTGACTGTTTTGTTCATCTGATTCTTTCCAGTCAAACATGGTTCATCGTTTCTTTTTGCTTCCCCTCAGCCGAAGCCAAACGTGCAGAACGAAGGGATCAGGCCTTTATGCTGTCCATCCCCCAACCCCTTCTCACCCTTATCCTCTCCTGCCTCTCGCTCTTCTCCCTCCCACCTCTCAGGTACCGAGTGCCAGAGCTGAACGTGCAAAACGGGGTGCTCAAGTCGGCATGTTTCTGAGCCTTCTTACTCTTCTCCTCTCCCACCTTTCCCGCCTCTCCTCTTCTCTCAGGTACCGAGTGCCGGAGCTGAATGTGCAGAACGGGGTGCTCAAGTCGCTGTCGTTCCTGTTTGAGTACATCGGCGAGATGGGGCGAGACTACATCTATGCCGTCACTCCGCTGCTGGAGGATGCGCTCATGGATCGAGACCTGGTGCACCGACAGGTGGGTAGTGTATGGTAGGGTGTGTGTGGGGTTAGGGGGCCCAGACAGTAGTTATGAGTCCGTCTCGCTCTTGCATGTGCTTTCCACCGACCGTCTTTGGAGTCAAACCACTGCTCTCGCATTTGTTCTTTCATCTGGCAACCCGAATTTTGTTTGAACCGAACATCTCCTCTTCCGCTTACTTGTGTTTCAGACGGCAGCATCGGCAGTGATGCACATGACGCTGGGAGTGGCAGGGCTTGGTTGTGAAGATGCTCTGGTGAGTCCTCTGTCTGCTGGTCGGGCATGCTATCGACCAGGCTCCTTGTCCATTAGGCTTGTTGGCCATCAGGCTCCTTCCCCGTCAGTCACATGGTCCACGCCTTCTTGCTGATTTTGACCTGTCCCGCCCTTCTTACTGCGCATCTCGTTAGTGTTTATTCCTGATTTTTGCTCAACTATTATCTCGGCTAGGTGTTTCAATAATTACCTTACTGGTTCATTCATGTTTGTTATGCAGATTCACTTGCTAAATCTGGTGTGGCCCAACATCTTTGAGACATCGCCTCACCTGATTCAAGCAGTCATGGGAACCATTGACGGCATGAGGGTGGCTCTGGGCCCTGCGCTCGTGCTTGGCTATGTCCTGCAGGTATGCAGCTTTTTATGTTGTCATCAGCATGTGCCAGGTTTGCTGGGTCGTTCCATTGTTGCATACATGTGGTTCTCTTGCTATAGAGCAAGGATTGTATTTCAAACTAGCTTGTCCTTGTTGTAGACTTTAATCTTAACCCCTTATCTTCCCTGTTTGTTTTCCATGCAGGGTCTATACCATCCAGCTCGTAAGGTGCGTGAGGTGTATTGGCGTATCTACAACAACCTGTACATTGGTGCACAAGATGCCCTTACGGCTGCATACCCACGCCTGCCTGACGAGCCGAACAATACCTACACTCGAGCGGAGCTTGACATGTTCATCTGATGCACGTTTGTAGAGACCAGAGCTGGTTGGCTATAGGTGGTTGCACGGCAAGCGCAAATGCTTGGTGTCAACTGGTGTCATTTTACGAACCAACTTTGAATGATGATAGTGTGGAGCAGCGATCAAAGCTTTGCATCAGAATCTACTGTACTGTTGTAATCGGCTTGCTGTAACACTGCATTTGTGACTGACCCTTCATGTTAAAATACAGTAGGAACACAAGAACCATATCTTCATCCGTCAACAGACGTGATGGCTGACAGGCTCAACTCCACACAGGAGGGGCCAGCTCCAGAAGCACAGCGTAGCACAAAATCAGAATCACATATTGTTGGCTCCTGCAAAGCACCAAGGAATTTCGTAAAAGACTGTGATGTGGTCAAGCGAAAGATGATGAAAGGATTGTCACTGTGCTGATCCAGCAGACATGCTCACCCTTCGTTCTGGAGGCAGCATGTTGTGGTGGTGTGCCAGGTTCAACAGCACCATTAGGTATCTCTGTGCTGTCACTGTTCCTGCAGCACTAACCACAGTTAGGAAATGAAGTGACCTCTCAACAAAGGATTGTGATTTTGATGCATTACCTTTTGCAGCAGTTTGTCCAAGCATGTTTGTTAGGTGATCTCTTCCAAATACTCTCTCTCCGGACTTGACAGCCACAGCTATGTCCTTTTCAAGCTTATGTGAAAGCGCAGAGATGCTTGACGGGTCAGATAAATGCTCCTGCAGTGGCAACATAAACACAAGCATTGTGCACGATGATGACAGCAACATTAACCAGAGTCAAACGATCATCCACCAAAAAAACGTACCGGATATGCATCTCGACTCATCACTTGCTCGATCAGGTCTTGGAGCCTGGGGCGCTTCCCTCGGGCATTACCACAAGAGGAAGTTTCCACAGCTGATGAACCCATGGAACATTGTGGATGAGTTGCAGTAGATTGAGATCCAACTGCCTGTGAACTAGGAGCTGCATGTCCGGTGGACGGAACATAATGACAGGATGCCATTGCAGGTCGTACGAGTCCATCGTTAACGGGAGGTGGTACCGTCTCAATTCTTGTGGGCACAGGAACACTGTTGCACATATCTGCTACTTTTGAAAAACGGTCAGTTCCAGGCATCGGATGAACGTCAGCGTGCCTCGCATCATCACGTAAAAATGATGATCCTGGTTGGTCATGGTCAGCGGCAACTGGAGCAGTGAACGAAACTGGATAGTTGCAGTTTCTTGCAGGATCTGGAGCAGATGCGGGCTGGATGTTCTCAATATGGACCCTTGAATCTCCTGATGTTGGAATCCTAAATGTAGTATTGGTACATGGCTCACCACTTGGCTTGCAATAAGCCACCACTGGCGTAGGTCGCTGAGGTTGATGCATTACAGTTGGACCATCATGATTGGGAGAGTGAACTGGGTCCAGATCCTCCCACCCGCATAAATCCCAGAAATTCTGGTCATTGTGGCCTTCTTCAGGCATCGAGGAACCAGATGGCTCCTGAACTGGGATTTCCAATGGATTGTCAAGGTCTTCAACATATTCATGGATTCCTTCCATCTCAGGCGGTGGAAGTTGGAAAATGTCGTCTTCATATACTACAAGTGACATGTCAGATATCTTGGAGCCTGGAAATCACACAAATTTAGTCACGAGGCCAGGGAAGACAAGAATAGCAATGAAAACAACATACATGAGACAGTGGAGAAGCCAAGGTCGAAACCCCCCTCAATCTGTAGAGCATCATGAAAACATTATTATCACCACGAATCAGAACCACAACTTTTGTACAAAAGTAGCACCATACCACGGAAGGGTCGGAAAACAGCTTCTCACGATACGAAACAATGTCAAATCTTCCTGCACAAGCAAAACAAAAAGCCCTCAATAGAAATGCCAGGAATAAAAATTGCCTTTAAAAGGGAAGTCTCTGAATTTAGAAAATCATTTGCTTTCTCTTTGTAACCCTATCATCACTTACGTCTGTACAGTGAAAGCCTGAACATGTCTCGGTCCATATCGGTATCATCCCACGGATCTGAGGGAATTGGTTCCTCACACTGTTGTGGTGGCATAAGAAGCCTCTCTGCATCACGAATTTGCCTGCAAATTTGACAAGCTCACGATCATCCATTTTCATGGAGAACAGAATGGGCCGTAAGGAATCAACGAAGCTTTGGCTGCACACACGGATTGTGCACAAGCTTGCTTTACTTACCTGCTTTGTCGGGTGGTGCTGCTGGAATCAGCCTCTCGAAACTTTGAAACCACAAGCCGATCGAGGAGGAGGATACTGGGTCCCTGCTGAAGTAGGTTGAGTTGAGAGAGCATGAACAGCTAAATATGTGGCACAAACCCCAAGAATCATACCTTGTCAACCGCTGGGGCCTCCTCAGCTTGTATTGAATTATCTGGTGGGCCACTTCCATCCACAGTCATTTCTGCTGGTTGTTCCTCAAATTGGCACTCTGGTGGGCCCATGGGGTCACCATCTGGCTGCTCCATTGGAGTTGACACCACTTTTTCCAGACGTGATTTTCTTTTACCGAACTGTGGCTTGTACAGACCACAGACTTGAGTCACCTCATGATCGCGAGGTTTGACTTGGTCTGCGTCCGGACATTCTGTGATCACGTCAGGGAAAGGCTCAGGAGGTGCATGCCATTGCTCATGTTCTTGAGGCGGGTGCAGCTCTTCAGCAACCACATGCTGTGCATGAGCTTGGACAGGAACCGCTTGTGGGGTCCTTGCCGTCATGGCCTGCCAGGCGTGAAACAATAGCTCAGAGACAGTTGCAGCACACAAGACAACTAGGAAAGCACAACTAAGGAGTCTACCTCCTCTGGTAAGTTAGCATTTTCTGCAGCGCGAGCAGCCTTCTTCGCTTCATGTTCCTCAACAAGCTTATCCACAAGATCAAAGTCGTCGAAGTCACAAATATCATCGAAATCCTTGTCCTCTCCATTATCAGCATCATAGCGCAAGGCTTCCCCGTGCACCTGCAGCATCCAAGATTAATCAATACAGGATTGCGGCTTGCGCCATACTGATGATGAGTATGTTGCACAGCGCAGGTGCGGGCTCCTCCGGTGCAATGGCTAACTTACGTCTGGCTCCAAATTTGGAAAAGAAGTGTCAGATGCAGCCTCGCCATCAAACAGTGACGGAACTTCGATTGGCGCATCATCTTCGGCAGATTCATCATCCAATAGGTCTTCCTCAATGGGAACAACGAGACCTTTATACGGTCTTAGATCAAAATATGTGGGAATGCTTATCTCGGGGTAACCATCATCGTTTCCATGCCAGTCGAGCACTCTTTGCAAACAAAGACTGATGGTTAGAGAGTGTACATGCAGATGCGCCCATAAGTGGCTCATCTTGAAGTTGTCTACCTTGAGATCGTGGATTCCAAGTTCCCAGAGGTGGAAGAGGTTAGGTTGTAACACAATTCGTCCCGCTTGAGAAAAAGGGACTTGTTTTCAGATATTTTACCGATCTGCCAGGGATGTATACCGTCAGTGTGGTTTCAACTGATCTTGATGTTGCGGAATATGTCCAGATTATGGTACATCAAATCAAACTTACTGCACTGGCCACCGCATTGTCCAGGTTTAATTCCAGCACTCCATGATTGTTCCTTCGCTGCGTTGTGGTGTCAATGAAGCTACCAAATTTACCATGTCTGCTCTTCTCTTCACCGCTCACTAGTTGCCCATCCCCGAAAATAGTTTTGTACCGATCGAGATCAGACTCTGACGATTCTTGCCCATTGACGATTCGGGCTGTAAAATGTAGATGCTGTTAGCTGTGAGCATTAAAACGACCTAAGTATCACCACAAATTTGTCCTGACCTGATTTTGTAGGCTTTGAACCAGGCTCCCTAGCTGTGGTCTTGAGCTCACGAACGGCCTCAGTGGTCTTCTTAGACAACACGTCTGTTTCGAATGGAACGCGTCATTGGCAAGAGCCTCCTAGGGTTTCATCAGCCAGCAAAACATGGATACTCGCGTACCTCGCATTGTTCGAATAAGCTGCACGCATGAACGTTGACGTCAGATGCAAGACGGAAAAAAACACTCAAATCATTCATGGGTAGTTTCTTACCTCCGCTCGGACATGAACGTTGGTTGACGCCTCCTCCACGTCAGCCTTAGTAACGACATTTTTCATTTTTCCCTTGTTATCCGCCTGTAAATAAAAGCTTGACATCACTGAACAGGAAAGTGGCCAATATATCGTGCTAAGTATCCATAGCCTTACAATATCAAATGGTGCCAACGCTAGCGAAAGGTACTTCTGATCGAATGGGTTCTTCTTGTGCCTCTTGTGTGCGACATCATCAGCAACTGATAATATTGAATAACGTCGTTCGCCCCCTTCCGCAATTGATGACTGGATTCTGTACTTGACCGCAGGTGGCGCCATGCTCCTAGTCTAAGGAGAAGCGATAGGCCTAGTTTCAAAAATCTTATGTGAGTCACTGATGTTCCTTATCATAGATTCAGGAGAGCTCATGCACAGGTAGCGGCTCGAACAACAGTCAATTCTAGTTTAGCCGCAGTAGTAGTGATAATCGCTTCGATGGTTCTCTAATCCTTCCCCTTCGCCCGACCGTGTTTCTGCAGATTTGTTGTCAGTGCTATGGAATGAGCTAGAAGATTGCAGGCATGAGAGTACGTGCTGTTACTGATAATCCCAGGGACAATCCCAGGGACAGGGTGAAATCGATCTTGTTATGAGTTGTACTAAGAAGAGTGCGCGGAAGACTTAATAAAAAGGATGAGAACTCCAGAATGACGAGAATGATAAAGAAGCAAGCATTTATAGGGTCGAAAGCGTGGTAGGCGAGGACCTCGGGACGTGGATGGGTTGGAAGTGTCGCGAATGGTGCGGGGCGACTCGGAAGTGGTTCGGGCCGAAGTGTAGGCCGAACCCAAACTGACGCGAACAGTTCGGGCTGTCCTCGCTAGGAGTAGCCTCTACAGTAATGAATT